ATGCAAGTGCTGCCCTTCTGATCTCCCAGGGAATTGTTCTAAGGCGTGCATCTCCCTAGTGTACGTGTTCAACTCATGGTTCTGTCTGTTGTTTGGCTGAGAGTTAAGGCACAGGAGTGAATTCGATTCCAGACCCAAAGGGTGCCTTGAAGCTGTCGTCTCAGGGGTCTCACCCATCTCTATCAGACCAATAAGCCTGGTCTTTTTTTATGATTTTGAGTTTTCGTACACATTTTTCTCCCACTCTATACAGGATCTTGAATTTTGATCCCTTTCCAAGTTGGCATTGGTAGTTGGGAACCCTCTGGTTCTTTGGTCTCTGGGTCATAAAGGTAGAAGTCCTCATGGTCCATTAGTCCTTTGGACCAACTGTTTCCATTTTCCATGGGTCTTTGATTTTCTTCACTCTTTTTTTCTCTGGATGAGGAAAGACAAATAGTTGCCACTTAGGTGGCCACTTGCAAGCTTTAAAGACCCAGTTGCTGCTCACCGAAGTAAGATGTAGAACAATATCTTTGTATGCCATGTCATGCCAATTGAGCTTAAAGTCCCTTGTGACCATGATCCCTGCCCCACAGGCCTAGCAACCCACTCCCTCAAGGTGTTTATTTGTGGCTAAGAAGTTATCCTCACTTTGCCTTCTGTTATGTTTAAACTGCATATGGCCATTTTTATAACACATTCAAATACATACATAAGAATATCATCTGCAAACCTATGTTCAGTCATAGGTATGTTCCCATTTGCCTATCCATACCTGTTTACCTTTGCATCCACCCACAGATCAGTGTTTGCTGTTACTGATAAGGCAGTATTGTGTCTGCAATAGTATTTGCCTTTATTGTCTATACATCTTGTGTACCTCTCCGTGTCTTCATTTTCTTTAGTGATAGGAAGTCACACGCTTTTGTGTGACTTCTCGCTCCACCCATATCAAACCTTTTGCTTTGTTTAACGTATGATTTCCTTGCTTTTATCCCACAGTCATCTGGTGTTAGGAATTAATGTTCAATGCATCAAGTCTATTTTTCAGATGGTCTCTAATTCAGGTAGGACATACTCAACATCATACTTTGGTTCTCATGGACTTGTTTTAATTTTTTCATCTTCATACTGCATACGAGCAGTTGACGGTCTGATCCACAATTGGCCCTTGGCCTTATTCAAACTGATGATGTTGAGCTTCTCCATCTTCTCTTTCTTCACCTATGGTCCATTTGATTCCTGTGTATTCCATCTGGTGAGGTCAATGTGTATAGCTGTTGTTGATGTTGCTGACAAAAGATATTTGTAATGAATAAGTCATTGGTCTTGAAAAATTCTATCATGGGATCTGGCATTTCTATTGCCAAGGCCATATTTTCCAACTACAGATTCTTCTTCATTTCTAACTTTCATATTCCAATCACCAGTAATTACCAACGCATCTTGATTGCATGTGTGGTCAATTTCAGATTACAGAAGTTGTAAAAATCTTCAATTCCTTTGTCTTTGGCTTTAATGGTTGGCTTGTAAATTTGAATAGTAGTAGTATTAACTGGTCTTCCTTATAGGTGTGTGGATATTATCCTATCACTGACAGCATTGTACTTTAGGACAGATCTTGAAATGCTCTTTTGGACGATGAATGCAATGCCATTCCTGTTCAATTTGTCATTCCCGGCATAGCAGACCATTGAGCTGATTCTGGCTCATAGTGACCCTATAGGACAGAGTAGAACTGCTTCATAGGACATGTCCCTGAGCCTTAGTTTCCCCATCCATAAAATGGGGCCATAATACCCATATCCTCAGGGCTATTGGGTGGATTAAATGTTTCCTGAAAGTCTAACATTGATGTGGGAAGTACAAGTAATTGAGAGCCTCTTCTCCACTCTAATTGTCCAAGGCCTGGAAGGGAGGGCTGGAGCTGGGGGTGCACTGTGGCATCCCTGGCCTGCCCTTTAACCCCACGCACATCCTCCAAAATGTCTCCCCATGACCGTGGTTCTCCTTAAATGCCCTTCCAGAAGGAAGAGAAAGCCGGGAGGACAGGGGGCCCCAAAGACAAATTAAAAGGGTAGTTTCTTCTGTAAGACCCAACCCAACAAGACCAGAGGACCTCAGGGGTGGAGCCCTGGGGCTGAGCTCTGCCCACTTCAGTCCCTGATGTTGCTGGGGCAGTAACCCACTCCCTTCTCTCTCCCCTAAGCACTCACCACCCTCGCGCAGAGCACCCCAGCCGGTGATCCAGCAGTGCAGGCCAGGCTCGAAGAAGTGGGAGCGCCCCGGCAGACAGACGGGGTGCACGGTGGCCGAGCGCACCACCGGGTGGTCGAGCTGCAGCAGCGCCACATCATAGTCATGGCTGTCCTCCTCGTGGTACGGGTGCAGGAGCAGCCGGCTCACCTTGAAGGACACCTCACCAGGCCAACGTGAGCTCTGCCACACCTTGCCCAGGTACACAGTCCACAGCGCCGGTGAGGCCATACTGGGGGCAGGAAGGGGGTCCCTGCTCAGCCGCTGCCTCTCCTGCTGTGGGCTTTTGTGATAGTCACCTTCCCCTCCTGGGACATCGTCTCCCTTCGTCCACACTCACCCTTCCCTTCACTGGGAGCCCTCGTTACTGGTGGCACGTATGTAATCAGAGTGTCCCAGGGGTCAGCCTGCCTGGGGTCCAGCTCTAGCTTAATCCCTTCTCAGGTAGGTGTGTGCCTCTCTCAGGCTCAGTCAGCTCTCTGAATGAGACTAGCAGTTTCTAGGCATCTGCTCCTGGGAGAATTCAGTAAGATTTGTGTGTAAAAACTAAGGTTAATGGTTAACCTCAGTGGTTAAGTGTTGGGTTGCTAACTGACAGACTGGCCGTCTCAGCTGCTCCAAGGGAAACAAGACCTGGCCATATGCTCCCATAAAGATTACAGCCTAGGAAACCCTATGGGGCAGTTCTGCTTTGTCCCAGAGGGTGCTCTGAGTTGGAATCGAACCAACAGCACCCAACAACAGGAAGCTGAGAGGGAGCACTCGACAGGACAGGTATCTCTCTTTTGTCCTGAACGCTTTGCAGACACAGCCCATCCTGGACTCTCAGAGACCTGACCCTGCAGGAGGGGGTGGGATTGAGCAGAGGCATCAGTGGGGTCTGGGCCAAGCAGACCCTGATGCCTGGTCACTGTTCAGGTTTTTCTTTCCCTCCAGGGTCGTGGGGAGCCAGGAGTGGAGGTAAAGAGTGCCATGGTTGCATGCAGCAGGGAGTGGCCTCTGAGCTGCCAGAGTGATCCAGGTGATGGCAGCTGCGAGGACCAGGCAGCGGGCAAGAATTAGCCAGAGCTAATGAAGAGAACATGAGGCCTGATGTGGGTGTAAGTGGAGAAGAGAAGGTGCCCTGAGCCTTGGCTGGGGAGCCCAGGAGCCAGGGCAGAGGAGGAGGTGGGGAAGGGAAGAGTCCAGGGCTGGCTGTGCTGAGGGAGAGGCCTGGGGCCTGCCCCCATGGATCTGGCCAGGGTGAAAGGGCACGATGTCAGCCCACTGTGCAGATGAGGAAGATGGCCAAGGGGCAGGAAGGGATGTTCCCTCCTCCAGGCTTCCCAGCCCCACCCATCACCCTGCACAGCCCCAGTGACACCTTGGCAGAGGAGGATGGCTCATAACACGGGTCTGGTGGGACCTTTTGTCCATTTTGTTCTCTACTGTATCCCCAGCTTCTAGTGCAACCCCTAGAAGGGGCACACATTGCTGAATGGATGAATGAGTGAATGAATGAATGAGTCACAGACCCAGCCGGAAGAGAGGCACCCAAAGCTGGGCATGGGAGACTGAGCAGTCTGCCCAGGGGCACAGAGGCAGTTCATGGTAGAGCCAGGAGGAGATGTGACAACAGCCATCCAGGGCACACACCACCCTCCCTCTGTCTGCTCTGCGCCCAGACACTGGGCATGCCATGCATTCCAGCCATGACCTTCTCCCTCTGAGGCTCCACACCTGCCCTCACCTGTCCTCTTGGAAGCAGTGGGCAGCTGTTATCACCCAGCGGTCAGCGATGAGGGCCCCTCCACAGATGTGTCGGCCCCGAACCTGGAGGCTGGCCTGCCATGGCCACTCGCCCTCCGAGGACACAGCGCCACCCACAATGCGGCTAGAGGGGCCTTGGAGGCCACAGTCTGATAGGGGGACAAGGAGGGACAGAGAAGGTGGGGAAGAAAAGAGCCCAGTGAGGAACAAGACAGACAAAGAGACAGAGGAAGATAGAACAGGGAGAGGAGAGAGAGAAAAAGCAAAGGAAAGATGAAGGAAGGGAAGGAGTGATGGAGAGAGGAGGCAGGACCAAGATGAGGGGCAGGGAGAGGAAGGACAGAGACAAACGGACGGATGGTCAGATTTCCCCTCTAGCTTCCCAGGGCAGGCACTGCCCCACCTCCCTGCCCCACTCTCTGCCCTGGAGCAGCGGGGCCTGGTGGAGGGGCCAGCGGGCAGGTGGAGGGGCAGCTGGGTCTGGCAGGGGCACCAAGGTAGACGGGCAGCTGGGATGGGCTGAGGGCTGGGGCGGCAGGCTCACCGCAGCCCTGCTCATCCGAGCCGTCCCTGCAGTCGGACTGCCCATCACACTGTGGGTTGGGTTTCTTTACGCAGCTCCGGTCACCACACTGGAAGGTGAATGTGCCACAAGGCACCCCTAGAACAGAGGGCACAGAGGGGTGGTGCCTGAGCCCCAAGGAAGCCTTCTGAAATCAGGCCTGGCAAGGTGGTCCAGGAGAGGCCAGGAGGGGTTTCTTTTTTTTAATGCATTTTATTGAAATATAATTTGTTGTTGTTGTTGTTGTTATGTGCCGTCGAGTCGAACTCGACTCATAGCGACCCCTCCTTGGGTTGCCGAGGCAGTATCACTACGGAAATAGAATGCCCAACCTTCCTTCCGAGGAGTGGCTGGGGGGTTTGAACTGCCAGCCTTCTGGTTAGCAGTCAAGTGCCTTAGGCACTATGCTACCAGA